CTGACACAGACAGCCTGAGGGCTAGTGGCAGACAGGGAGGTCCTTTGAGCACTTAGAAAAGCACAAGATATTTGCTTTAAAATTATGAGAGCTCCGACATTTATTTCTGTTATAAGAGCAACGGAAACACAAGAAAACAAGACAAAATATGAAGACCTGAAAATGTTTTAGACAAACCACATATTTTATTCCTTTTATTCGTGTCTACGGAAAATGTTTCATGTGCTTCCAATAAGTAAGTTGAAGAGTCCAGGGAGGGCTGAGAGCGCCAGGGCTCTGGGTCCTCCCCTCACTCTGCCCAGCACTCAGCGGGGCCAGCCAGGCACAGGCAGGCCGCAGGCACTGGGGAGTGTGTGTGGACACAGCTCCTCTCTGCCCATGAAGGAGCACACAGTCCCTTCCCTCAGGGTGCTTTGGAGAGACAGGGACATGGGACTCTAAAGACACAGCACTCAGTTCAGAAAAGCCCCCAGAGCCAGCTCGGAGCCTCAGACTAAGAGAGAATACTGGTGGACCAGGGCACGATCCCAGGGGGCTTCCCCAAGAGGAGATGATGGAGCAAAATGGCCAGGTGACCAGGAACCCGTCCACTCTTTCATGCATTTCTTCAACAAACACCTAAGGGACCTACTGAATTCCAGACGTGGGTAAGGAACTGACACAGGACAAAGGGACAATAAATCTCAGCTCCTTCCCTTGGAGAAACTCACTGTCTGGGAGAGAGAACAGAAACCACCCTGATAATGAAGCCCTTCAATAACAGCTGCACCCGAGTCTGTGCAAGTCAACGTGTGAGCAGAGGGAAGGAGTGGGCGCACGGGCCTGGCGATGGGGGAGGGCCGGCAGCTTCCAGGCAGACCTCAGGGGAAGGCGCACCAGGCAGAGGACCCGCCCATCATCTCTCCTGGCTGAGCAGGTGGTGCCCAGGGATGAAGAAGGTGAAGAGAGGGGAAGCGGGGCCCAGACGCGGAGCGCCATGAGGGCCCAACCTCATGGTTGGGAGAGGATTGTATCACCCCAACCTGCGAAAGGGAGGTGAAAGGAAAGTGACCACAACACTCGGAGCAACCAAAAGATCTTTATTGCAGCAGTGCAACAAAGAGAAAAGAAGGAAGGAAAGAGAGAGAGAGA